TATATTAAAACGGTCCGTATAGACTCTATTACAATTCCTTTACACATTACATGCCAAAATTTAATTACAAGTCTAATTTTTACAAAAGAAATGGATTGGAAGCCACAAGTCGGCTTTTCTTCCTCCTTAAGTGCCCAAGTGAGTGCCGTCCCTCGACGTATGACCCGTACCTGAAATATTTTCCATATAGGGTGAGCCAACGCCCAGTAGAGTATATCCTACAAGGGCTACTCCCCACCTAAGTGCACATGCAATGTTCACATTTGATCGTTCATATTCACATCAACATTCCAAGTAAGAATATGCAACTCTATATTGGAATTCACCATGTCATGCAATGAAATGAGATGAAACTCACTCATGCAACTTTAACTCAAGTCCTCACCGACTCCCACAATACAATGCAACACATATGTGTAAAACAACGTCTTTGATGAAACACATCCAAAGATCATTTTGAAATCAACCATATGTTATAAAACTATTTCATTCTTAGATGTTTCCTATCAAACAAATCATTTATATATCAAAATCATGTGTCTTTATGGGGTATCAAATTCAGGAATCGCACCTCCGGCTCCGTACGTCGTTACCTTATGCACGACCAACAATATTGAGTACAAGACGTTCAAATTAGTATGTATTAAGAGGGGACTTTTAGAAGAAGATGAAGAATGGATACAATGTCTTCAAGAGGCTTCAATTATGAATACGGGGTGTCAATTGAGGAGATTGTATAGTATAATTCTTATAAAATGCTCTTCACTTCATCCACTTGCATTATGGAATCAATTTTTAAAGCAGATGTGTGATAACCTTGCACACAAGATTCGTACGATCTTTGGCATTGTGAGTCCAACTCAAGATTAGATAGAAGATTATGGGTTATATCCGATGAATCAACTTCTCCATGAGTCAAATAATGGTTTAATTGATTTTTCGCTTGTGTCGCAACCAATTGAAAACTGGAATGTAATTGTTGGTAACAGATTGTTATTCGAAAATCAAAAACTCCAGAATGAAGTGCAACAAACAATTTCAGACATTGATATTGACTGTCTTAGTGATGCACAATGCAAAGCTTATGTTGTAATCACTTCATTTGTATTTGACAATAAGGGAACTACATTCTTCTTGAATGGGGGTGCCAGAACAAGAAAGACATATATGTAAAATACAGTTGCTACTAAATTGCATATTCTTGGACATGTTGTTGATGTGGCTTCTTTCGGTATTGCATCATTATTATTAGTTGGAGGCCGCACTGCACATTCAACATTTTGTATTCTTTTGGAAGTGCTTGAGAATTCGGTTTGAGGATTTACCAAGCAATCTATGCACACAGAGTTGTTCAGCAAAATAAAACTCATAAAATGGGATGAAGTTCCTATGTAGTATATATTTTGTGTTAAGGCAGTAGATCGTACACTCTAAGATATTTGTGACAACAAAAAGTCATTTGGGAGTATCACTATCGTTCTTGATGGAGAATTTCGGCAAATCTTTCTAGTTATACCAAGGAGAGTTCACGTGCAATTTGTGGGTGCTTCATTGAGATGGTCTATGTTATAAAGGGATATACATGTTTTGACATTGGATTTAAACATGCGCTTGAATAGAACAGATGTTGAAAATGCAGATTTTGCATATTTCTTACTGGAGGTGGCATTTCATTGATATCCAATTTTGTGAATATATATTGAATATATTGATTTTGATTATTCACTAATTTTATGTTTTTATTTTTAGATTGGTACCAACCCACAAGAAATTATAGAACTTTCATCAACAATACACAAATGTCATAATCTCAACGAATTGATTTATAATGTTTTTCCATGATTAGAAGTGGTTGGTACAATGACCCCAGAATTTTTAACCAAACACATCATACTTTCTGCCCGCAATGACGATGTTAGTGCTATAAATGCTACAACTTTACAAATTTTTCCCAGAGAGACAGTTACATATTTAGTTTCAGACGAAATGTCAAACGTCGATGAAATTGATCGAACCATCACAAACCCATTTCCTAATGAGTATTTTACCTCTTTGAATCCTTCAAATTTTCAACCTTTTATGTTAGAGTTGAAAGTGGGTTGTCCAATAATGTTGTTGAGAAACATTGCACCGAAATATGGTCTTTGTAATGGGACGCGATTGATGGTTGTCAAATGTGGTGTGCGTGTAATTGAAGTTAGAATATTAAATGGAGATAAATTTAGTGACTTGGTCTTCATTCCAAGAATATATTTGACACCGACAACTTCTGAATTGCCCTTTCAAATGACTAGATGTCAATTTCTTATCCGGTTAATATATGTTATGACAATTAATAAGTCTCAAGTATAATTTGTAAAATTTGTTGGAGTTGATTTGCGAACATCAGTCTTTAGTCATGGACATCTATATGTGGCACTATCTAGATACACATCTTCTGATCATTTACACATCCTTCTCCTAGAAGACGGGTCGAACTGCACGACAAATATTGTGTACCCTGAGGTTTTGTTATAATGTTCTATATTCTACAAGGACGAAATGATATAAATTATTTGCAAGTTTATTTCTATTGATTGCAAACATTTTAACAATGTTATTTTATTGATCAAACATTTTATTTATGTTATTTCATCTATAGAATTGGGATGAATAAGTACAGGAGTTAAAAAGACTAAATGCAATCCATCTTTTTCGATGGGGTTGTTTGAATAAGGTAACTAAATTTATTTTTTTTAGTTTATTTTTTATTTTCAAGTTTATAATTTTAAAATTCATGTCGTGTACTAAATTTAACTATTTTTGTAAATGTTAGATTGTTGTACATTCCCCCAGTTGAAAGATGCGGATTTGGATTGATGCAATGACATTTTCAGGCTGTGATGGAGAGAGAATATTTACATTGACGTACTGATAAATGACTCATTTTGATAAACTAGATTAAAAAATGACTCATTTTACAAGTGTACTATATATATGATACAAGTATATGGTCATTCTTTAATTTTATTTATGTTTAGGCAGAACTATGAGTTTATTTTGCAATGGTAAATATGTCGAAAAAGGCATAATAATGGTTATCATTGTTTGATGCCTAAAGCATTTGGTAAATAGTCATATTTAGACATGACAATGGTTAATATTATGATTTTTTTTGTGGTAATTAGCATGCATATGACATGGTTTGGTTATGATTATAAAATTTATAAGTTTTGTAGACAGGTTGATATATTTGTGGTATATATTTTCAAAGGATATTTTGCCGAAAAATTGAAAATTCATACATTGATTTCAATTTTTCTGATTACATGATTTTTGAATTAAGCAAATTTTTTAGTGACCCAAAATGTAATTCAATACCTCTTGCTTAGTTTTTGTTCATTCATTGAGATAGTGATTGATTTATAAGTACTTTATATCATTTTGTTGTGTGATTAAAGTAGTTTGTAATTGAAAAATTTTATGGGTTTATTTCAATTTTTTTAAGAATCTTATGTTCTGTCTATCACTTTTATAAGTATTGATATAGTTGTTGGTATAGGAAGAATGGTGTTGTGGTAATTGATACATAGTTAGATTTCAGTGTGCATATGACAAGATTTGATTATGATTAGTGAAATATATAAGTTTTGTAGACAGGTTGATATATTTGTGACATCATATTTTCAGAGAATACTCTGTCAAAAATTTAACAAAGTATCCATATTTTGACCCTTTTTATTTCACTAAAGTCATGACATTAAAAATGACCAAACCATTTTCACCTTAATACATATTTATATTCATTGTTTGATTATTTTGTGTTTAAGAACTATGTACAGTACCTTCAGACACATGATATAGGGCTAGTTTAAGCTTTCAGTTTAGTACGTGCCCGAATTCAATACTTAATTATTTTGTATTCAAATTCAATGTTTGATTTTTTTTAGTTACACCGTGCCTTTAGGTACGAGTTATCCCTAGTAAATAAATATGATGTGTGTGTGTGTGAATGTGTGTATATATATATATATAAAGAGAGAGAGAGAGAGATCCAACACAAAATTAATTTTTTATTCACGTTTCTCTTAATTTTAGAGGGATAAATTTTTATTAGTTAAAAGGACAACTAATCATTCCATTTTTTCATCTTCTCATTTTATTTTCTTATCAAACATGATAATTGATCTATTTTTCTAACTTTTCATCAATTTACCTTTCGATTCCTCTACATTTTTCTCATACCAAAAAAAGCATTAGAGCACAAATAACAATCCCTATGATAATCATAGGATGGTTGGTGATCTATCAGATGTGATCAATTAAAGAGGATCTTGAGTTGCTAGCAATTGATGGAGTACACAAATGACTTGCTCCTGGTGATCAAGTGAAAGACCGTAATCTTGAACATAGAAAATAATTTGTGTAAAATATCATACGTATTATAGCTTCCCGTACGAATTTTTTTTTTTTTTTTGGGAGCATGTTCGTGTTGGATTCGTACTGTCAATTTTCCAAATTCGCAAATTCAATTTTATTAATCTTGAACTCATTGTACTGAATTGACTAATTTAATTTCACTAATTCTTGAATTTCACAAAGTAAATCCAAGTATTCATTTCATTAAATCCACGAATTTAGAAATCAAATTCACAGTTTAGGGGATACATTTGATGAAAACTCATTTTTAGCCCCATACTAAATACCCAATTAAGGTAAACTGTCCAAAATGCACTAAAATTAAAAGCTCTATGTCTCTATCTCTTACTCTTAAAAGCTCTCAAACAAATTCGTAAAAAATTCTACTGTTAAAATTTTGACTTCCACGTGGTATAATATTTTCTCTAATATTTCATTGTAGTTTTTATGATAAAAATTGAGTAAAATAATAAACAAAAAAGTTGAATACTATTTCATTGAAGTTAAAAGAATGAAATAGTATGAATTAATGGATCGTTCATTTCATGTCATTTATGTCAGATTCTTATCGATTCATGAATTACACACATCTGACAAATCAACTCATTTAACTTCTAAATAACATAAATCTTCACCATTTCAAAGGAATCGAAGAAACCTCCAACTGTTCTAAAATTGGAGAAGAGCCAAGACCCAAAAAAAAAAATGCTCCTCTTACATTGATATGGCAGATCTCCAAATACTCTATGTTCTAGCTTTCAGAATCAGTGCGCTCCAGCACTCTAAAAAAAAAAAACAACAAGAAGCGCCAATTGTTTTACCCATCTAGATTCAATGAAAAAGTTAGCCAAATAATGAGGGGCAAATAGAAATAGAATTTTCTGTAATACATCTAGGAATCCTGATACAGTTTTACACCTTGTATTGAACATGATTAGAGAAATGTATGGGGGACATATGTTGTTGTATAAATTAAGAGATTGGCTTGTTAAGTGATGGTAACATAGCTTGTTTTTGTTGGAGAGTTGCTAAGCCTCCTACAAAGAAGTTAGTTTTTCCAGATGAAGCAGGCGGATATCCTGGTGGCAAGACATGAATCTACATCCCCCAGCCTTTCCATTAGTAAAGACTAAACTGGGTACTATATTAACCACATGAAACCCCTTATATTTCAATTCCCCGGGAAGATGTACAAATTGAATAAACAAACTGTTTTTCTTTTCATAATATTTGTATACGAAAAGAACAACATCTGACTGAGGGAAACTAAACTCAGCTGACACAACAGGAATTCACAGATTTGTGAAGCGTAACAAATCCTTTCCAAAATCGCAAGTGTTGGCATTGTTTCCTATAGATACATCTGATGGTATAAATAAAAAAATTTCTTTTTCTGTTCTTTTATTTTTCCTGCACTCAAGGGTTTCAGAACTGTAAGATTGTGGTTTAGAAGGCAACGCAGACAGTTACCTACCTTGCAAATGATTGCACTCACGGAGCATCTCCTAAAGCATGGATGCCATCTCCAGGCAACATTGTCCTCGGCAATCCAGTCACAGAACTTTGTGAGCCCTCCCATAATACCTGTTAATAAATGGAGACTGCAAAGCAAGATGCAATACAGGGAAAGGCAGAAATGAGTTCATGCCACGATGGTTTAGTAAGAGGCCCAAAATACTAGCCAGCCCCAGACCTAGTTTCCTACTATGCTAACTTTGTGACTAAGAAACAATAACATTTCAAAACTTAGAATGTCAAAAGAAGCAATCAAGTCCAAAATGACAGAGACGAGTTCTCGTCAGTTAATGGCGTTACGGGAGTTTTGGATAGTCACTTAGCACCAAGGATTAAACCAAAACTCTGGCTGAAGAGAAACTGTTCTCAAATCCTGATGCCTTTGGTTGATCTTTACAGGAAGGACTATGATTCAAACTACTCGAGTTTGGCTCGCTTTCATCTGTTCAAATTCATTTTAAATTGCAAAAACAAGCCAAATTGATGCTTTGCAATATAATTTTGTAAACGAACCGGATCCAAACAACAAGCTCATCTCGGCTTTAGTAGTTAGCTATAGATAATTATAATTTATTATCAAGCAACCCTTAATTGACAGAAAAAGAATATGATATTTGGCCACATAGCTTGAGACCATATGCACTTCTTTTTTTGTTCCACTCTTCTCTAATAGATTTGGGAAAATTTGAACCTCTAATTTTCATTTCACGATCAATTATACAAATTTTAGGGATTGTGTTACGAAATTAATGATTTTATGATCGATTATTAAGCCATAAGGTTTAATTTTCAGAAATCTGTGCTGGGAAATTGAGCTCGTTTTACAGAGCTAAGCTTGAACAAAAATCTATGCTCAATAGTTGAGCTCAGCCAGCTCAATTAATGCATCTTCTTTCATGATCTAGGATTCAAATAGAATAAGAATTTAGAACCTCAAGGCAGCCATCAATCAAAGAAGCACGGCAGTTGATAGCTGGACAAGATTTTTTGTAAAAATAAAATGACTCAGGATGCGGCAAAAAGGTTGTACCATAAACAGGTTAGCATTAATTCAAACTCTCGTGTCCCCTAGGCTTTTCATACCCAATGGTTGAAATAGGAGATAACCAATGCAGCAGCTATGTCACATTGTGGTTGGCATAGGTTTATTGAAGAACAGGATCTACTGAGATTTTTCGACTATCATTCTTCTGTAGTCGTACTCCTTTTTTAGCTGACAAATGTTTCACAAAACACGCACATAGGAATAAATGTAACCCAACCGATACGAAATTTAAATCAACACAACCAAAAATGCAGGAGATGATGACCCCTAACACTGAGATTAGTTCTATATGATATAAGTAATCGCCAATTAAGAATTCCAATAGCACAGTAGAGTTAACTAGATATTATGATAACTGGCTCTCCTTGTGACTAGATGGTTTTGGTGCTATGATCCCTTACCCTGAGTGAGGTTAAAGGGCAGGTAGAGAGAGAAGCAGAGGGAACTAGAGTTAATGATAGAATCGTTCTTCTACAAAGTCCAATTACAGTTTGGTATCCTATGCCTGTAGATGGGACTAAACTGGGTGTTAATTTTCATTCTATATATTTAGATTAAACCAAATCCAAAAGTATATCTGACATTCCAACTTTAACATCAATTCAAGGGTAAATTCATTTACATTTTCCAGACTTTGACATTGGAAACTTAAAATGATCCAAAACAGAACCATAAAACCATGCACATACAAACACGTTATATTCTTAACATTCCGCGACAAGGAATTAATCTTTTTTTTTTTTTTTTTGCGATTAAAAAAAAGTCTATTTTATTGATAAAATAGTACATCTTGCAACTTCATTTTTACCTGCACGCTTTCTAAAGATTGTGCACCTTAGTTAGGAAGAAATCCAATATAAGGACACCTCTAGAAGCTATAAAATATGATGTCACATGGCACGTTTTCTATACCCCATCGTAATTTCCCTTTCATGCTGGTTTATGTCCTCCCCTTCCTTTTAGCAGTTTTATTAATAACCATAAAAGCTTCAAAGAACGTGTCAACTATGAATATTTTCTGACTTGGTCAAGTGGCAACATTTTATACAAGACTGCACATACAAAACATTCCAACCAACAGGTCTATTTACTAAGATTATAGGATAAATTATGATTAGATATCCTGCAAATCTATAATCTAAAAAGGTTAAGGTACTAGTCTGCTTCAATGCATAAACATGGACGAAATAGACACATCATTGAAGGTGAGAAGTAGGTGAAATTCTACATAACAGACTGGAACTCGACACCAAGCAAGTTGAGGAGTGCTCAAAGTTTCAGGTGAAAAGACAAAAGGAAGTAAGGGCTAGTTGTGACTAAACGATAGGAATGCTATCCGAAACATGCAGAATACCAGTTGAATAATATGATCCTTCAAACGATTTATGTAGATTATGTGTTTCTACAACCACAGAAGAAGCACAAGGAAATTGTGTATGTTTTTCCAGACATCCATCCAGCCAGAAAAAGTAGAGATAGAGCTTAGAAATTCCATAGCCATGTCAACAGGAAGAAACTGGGATAAACAAAACTGAAGACCAAATATCAACAACCTAATGTCTTCGAAAGGTCCAAGATGAACTTGTTGGGTGCAAGTTTACCCAAATTTCTTCAGCAGGTAAACCAAGCTCATGCAATCAGATTACATCTGCCACTTGTTACACCTCAACTCAAACAACTACTCACCCAGCATCAACTGGAAAATGAAGCGGTTATATGAACTTCAAGAAAAATTGAATTAAGACAACCAAAGAGAAGATATCTCAAGCCAACTGAATTTGCTAGATCAAACAAGAACTGTCCAACCTATCATAGTTTAGTTTCTGATAGTTTTTTGATGTTCCACTTCCACAACAGGCTGAAATGGCTTTGTTACCAGGACAAACAAATTAAACGAACTATCATTACACAGCACAGAAGATTAGTCAGGAATTCTATGCTGCTAAATGCTTACCAACTAGATGATCAGAAAAACAAAAACCCTTAGGTCATATTTTCACAACTCATCTTAGAATTGACTATCCAAAACTAAAATCTGATATTGATACTGCTTTCAGTAACAATTATTACTAATGAAATAGTTTTGCAATACGAATATAAATAAGTGATGATTAAAATCTTACCTTGACGCTGGAGACATCAGGAGTATCAGATGTTGACACAGGATAGAATTTGAAAAACCTCATATTCTGAAACGCAGCCTTTATCACTTCACTCATTTCTTCTAAAGCTTTTCTCCGAACCTCCCTTGCCTACAAAACACTGAATTATGAAAATTTTGAAGATGCATAATATACATAAATATCATACAAAATAGCCACCGATACAGAAGTATTCCACAAAGTACCTCACGATTAGCTTTTTTTGCTTCTCGGACCTTCTCCTTCACAAAATCCTTGGAAAAAAAGAAGTATATTTCAAGATAATTGTTGAAAACGTGGAGACATAAGTTTTTCTTTTATGGTATATGGAGACATAAGTTACTTGCATCTATTCGTTAAAGTTTACCTTGAAGGCATCCCTCTGTTCTTCAGACAATTCCTCCTCCTCAATGAGTTTAGTCATGAACTCCTAGAGAGTAGTAGTTTAATTTAGTAATAGGACTTTTTTGTCAATGCATTTGTTTAGCATTTATTCATATGCTAATACATCATCAAATATGTCAAAGTACATGAGTTAGTCATAAGATGAGTGCAAAATACACTCAAATGGCCATTCTTTCACAAATACAACAGCTCACCCAAGAAATAAGATGGTAAATGGAATTTTCTGCGCTAAGCAATCAATAATGATATATGATGAAATAGCCAACAGATGAACCCAGCTCTTGTGGACTACCAAGATTTTTTATGAGTGTGTTCGTGGGTGTGTATGCTCCTATGTAAAGTTTGAACAAGTTGCTTACGCTCATCATCAATTTTGATGATTAAAACAAATGAAAGGGTGAAAAGCAAAAATAAAGGGTTATGGCATACCTCAAGATCATCATCAAGCTCCCAATCAAACTCACAGAAAACCTAAAGAAAACACAAGCAAAAGGAAAGTTAATTTACACACATTGTTTCATTACAGTGCTGCCATAATGGATCCTATTTGGAGAGTTCCAAATAATTTAAGATACAGTGAAGCAGTTGATACTTCCATCACAACTTAGTCTTGGTTCTAACTTATAGGTGTTGGCTACTAGAATCTTATCAAGCTATTACGCAAAAAGATGAGCACTGTGTGCCATACAAAATAGGCTATCAGAAGGCTTACTAGTTTTGGTTCTGCTGGAAATATGATTTGCACAACAGCGCTCTGTTCGAATTCATCTTCCTGAAGAGGCTGATAGAAATCTGGGAAAGGAACGAAAACAAAATTAGCACAAAAATATTCTGCTTAGCATAGCCAAAATTGAAATGGACAGAGTCAACCAATACTAATCAGCAAGGACACGTCCACCGACTGCTCCAATACACAAATACAATAAAAGGATAGAGGACATTTTTTCAAAAAAACAAATGCGGGGAATCTATATTCCCTCAGAGGAACATCCTCATGGACAAGAAATCTCGCAAACAAAAAATTACAATAGAAACTTGATAACACATTTATCTGTTTGTGTGAAATTTAAGTGTGCATTTGAAATCCAAATCAGTAATAGATGCAAATCCACATAACGGGATGTACTACAGCTAATAATCTTTTTGATATTGGAAGTACAACACCTAGTAGGAATCCAAAACTATTTGTAGACTGAGAAGAAAACCTTCAAAACTAGAGGCTAGATTATTCGACCTGTCTACAAGAGGAATCAGAAACCATTTCCATGACTTCAAAACTAGAGGTTAAACTAATCATCCCAATCCCAAATCTTCTGCATACTCATATCTGACGAAGATTTCCAAGTGTATACAAGGATCGAGATTTCAATTCATTTCAACCAGAACGACCGAAGCATTGGGGTTTCAGTCCGAAACCAAATCGAATAAATGATGGCACATCGAAATGCCCATGTTTCAGGTGTTTCGGACTATTTTCGGATATTTAAAAATGTTTCTATATATCTCGGCTAATATTAAGAATTTCTTCCCAAAACTTTTACCAAGTTTCATCGACCAATTACGGTCCTTTTTCTTTAAAAGAGCAATATTACATAAATTTAAAAGTAGACTTAGAAATCAGACTTGATAATTACGATTATTGATTTCACTGTAAATTCTATTATTTATTAAAACTCATTATCTATTTAATGATTAAAATTATCAAGTTATATTTTTAAATTCATCTAATATTACACTTTTTCAAATCAGACGTATTAATAAAAGTCCATAAACTTGCTACTAGTGGGACAAAAGTTAGTCAAATGGCACATTTTCCAAACAATTGAATGGTGAATCCAAAATATCGTTCAATGTGAGGTTGATTTTACATAACAAACCACCATTTGCCACCGTACATAATGGGATAGAGGGGAGTCGAACCATACATCTCAATTCCTTTCTATAATAGTAATTGCCTGGTGTTTGTTATGAAAGAGACAAATGGGGCAAAGACACTATATCAAAGTATCTAGAGTCAAAACCCATATTCCCAAAATGAAAGAGGATACACTGAAATGGTCATGTTTTCACAAACAAAATGCTAAGAACTTTGCAAGCACAAGAGGCATGAAAATTTGAGATTCACTCCCAAATGTCATTTGATAATATTTATCAAACAAATAAGAGAGAATATCAATGAATCTGCTACATTAATCTGTCAGAACATATACATGAGATGCACAATAAAAGCTTTTATGTAGGTCAACATAAAATAAAGAGAATGGCCAAACTAGCCCTAATAAAACTAATAATAAGCTAAACTCTCTAACTCCCTCCCTCAAAGTCATCATGTGACAGCACAAAATATCAAGAGTTTGTTAAAAAGAAATTAAAAACGTGTAATGGTATAAGATTTTGTAAAGAAATCTGCTAACTACAGAGTTGAAGTCAAAAAAGGAAGAGAGATGATTCACAACTGAAAATAATGGCACATAAAATGACAATCAACCTCAATATGTTTTGTGCGCTTATAAAAAACTGAGTTATGAGCAATCTGAATAGAACTAATGTTATCATATTACGTGAGAGTCGGTGCAGATAACATGATCCCAAGATCATCAAGGAGTCATTGTAATCAAACTATTTCAACTGTAGTAGATGTTATAGCATGATATTCAGCTTCAGTAGATGAACGAAAAACAACAATTTGCTTCTTACTTTCGTAAGAAATAAAAGAATCTCTAAGGAAAAAGCTGAAGCCGATGATGGACTTACGGTCTATAGAGTCACCAGCCAAATCAGCATTAGAATAAGCCCAGAGTTCCATAGAGAAGGAAGAGGAAAATAATAAACTTGATGCAGAGTACCTCAAAGATACCGAAGAATAGTAGCCCAATGAACAATGGTGGGTGAGGTAATAAATTGACTAACAACATGAACAATATAGGAGATATCCGAATGAGTGACCATAAAATATACTAAACTCCCAACAATAGCGTAATAGAATGTAGGGTCAGACAAGGAAGCACCATCAAAAGAAGAGTTGCGAACACTGAACTCTAAAGGTATTCCAACTATCTGATTATCTAATAAACAAGCTCATTGACTAACATTTGAAACATACTTGGATTAAAAAAGAAGATAGCCTTTAGGAGAGAAAACAATCCCAATGCCCAATAAATACCTAAGCTACCCCAAATCCTTCATCTCAAAATGATCCTTCAATAGAGGTTTCAATAAACATAAACCAGTAATGTCATCACCCGTAATAATCATATCATCAACATATAGTAACAGAATAATAAAACCTGAGAAAGTAGACCATAAAAAGAGAACAAAATCATGGTCACTGACACAAAAATCCAAGTCACAAATAACCGAAGAAAATTTGACAAATTAAGCCCCTGGGAGCCTGTTTAAGTCCATATAAAGCTTGGGGAAGTCAACATACTTAATCAAGATTATAAGACAATGTAGGAGGAGGAGTCATAAAAATCTTTTCACTTAAATCATCTCAATTGACGACTGGCAACAATTGCAATTACTGTGCAAACAGTGATCATCTTCGCAATAGGGGCAAAAGTATCATCATAGTTTAGACCATACTCCTAAGCAAAATCATTGGCTACTAATCCAGCTTTATACCATTCCAAATAACTATTAGACTTGGTTTTTATCTTATAAACCAATCGACAACCAATTGTGGTTTATCAAGTGGTAAAGGTGCTAACTCCTAAGCTTTGGTCTTGTGTAAGACAAACAACTCTTCATCTATAGCCTGTTTTCAAAGTGGATTAAGTAAAACCTCCTTGTAGGAGGTGGGTTCAAATAGGAAGTGAATAGAAGTAAGAAAAGAACAAAAGTCAAGCGAATAACAGGTGTTACTCCAACAAACCTATCTGGACATTTGTGAGAGCTTTGAAGATAGCGTAGGGTATGATCCATAGTGTCTGAATCTAATTGGGTGGCCAAAGGAGAGAAATCAGGCATCACATTCATAGATGAGATAGTTGGAGTCTTGCGAACATATGTATGCACAGTAGGAGGACGAGGAACAATCAACTCAGAAGGGAAGTTTCTGACACGGTTAAATTACCAACAAATGTGTCATGAGTAACATCAACAAGAAAGGGATCAATGTATAACAGGTCAAACTTATTCAGTGGAGAAGAACTAGAAGGAATTGAAAAGAATGAAATATGCTCCATAAAGGCAACATGGCGATAGAAATAAAGTTTGTGGGTAATAGGTTCATAACAATGATACCATTTTTGACCTTCACTATAACCAAAATAGACATAAAGCTGAACGAGCAGAAAGCTTGGTACAAAGAACACTAGTGAGCAAAATGAAGCAAATACAACCAAACACACATAACAAAAAATAGTTAGGTGACTTACCACACAATTTTTCAAATGAGAAGACTCCAGAGGTGAGAACAGTAGGAATGCAATTAATCAAATAAACTGTTATAAGAATTGCTTCCTCCGAAAATGAGTTGGAAACATGTGCTGATAATAGAAAGGAGCTTGTTGTCTCTAAAATATGGCGGTGTTTATGTTCGACAATACCACTCTGCTCAGGTGTGTCAGTCAAAAGGATTGATAAAGTGTATCATCAAATTTCAACAAATCACGAAAAAGAAGTTAGAGTTATATTGTATTTACATCCCTAATCACGTCAAAAATATTTAATAACAGTAGAATTTTGAGTACAGACCATTTATGAAAAATAGTTAAGATGGAAAAGAATTTAGACCAATGTTTTATCAAGTATGCCCAATAGTATATCGTATAATCATCAATAAAGGAAACGTAATATATGAACCGTCCTTGTGTAGGAATAGGATCCGATCCCCATATATCAGAATAAACAAGATAAAATGGTGCAAGGGAACAAGTAACACTGTTATTGAAAAGGAATGCACTAAATTTAGCCAACTTGCATCTACTACAATAAAAAATGTCATGACTATCTAAACTGCCCAAACTACCAGTAAAAGCTAATAAATTTAAATAAGAATGAGAAACATGATCAAGGCGAGAATGCCACAAATAAAAACTAGAAGACTGTGAATTCAAACAAAAAAAAGATAAATCAACAGTAAAGGCAGCAATTTCTAGAACATGGAACTCATCTAACACATACAGTCCTCCCTCTCTAAGGCCTGTCCCAATTACCTTTTTGGACTGTAGATCCTGCACAACACAACCAAAAAAAAAGAATGAACCAAAAATCCTGAATCAAATAATTAACTTACTAAGATTAAAGTAAAAATGAGTTGAGGAATGTAATAGACATCAGGAAGTCTAAGATGGGAAGAAAAAATTGTCCCAACATATGTTAAAGATATTTAAGTGTCATTAGCTGCAAGTACACATATAGATGGAGGAAAAATAATAGACGTAAATAAAGAAGAATCAATAGTCATATAATGGGTTGCACCTGAATCAAAGACCCAAGCAGTGTGAGATATGCCTAAAGTGAATAAACCTACTGAGGGTGAGACTGTGAGAGCATCAGGCTGATGGAGAGAAAGTAGCTTGTGCAACTAATCATCAATCATACTCAGGCTGAAGGCCAATAAGGATGACTCATCCACCGGTGGTGCAACTACTATTGTATGACAATCTTTGAGCTTAAAAAGATAAATTCAATGATCCCCTGTCTTCTTATTTGCTAATTTTGGACACTGGGCCTTCCAATGGTCCTTCTCATGACAGAATCTATACTCATTTGAAGTTGTTCGACCTCGGTACTTACTTTATAAACTAGAAGGCACATGTGGGGGTACAACCAATACAATTTGATTAGATAATGAAAGAAGACCATTTCCAGAAAGAGTCTTATAGCGAACCTCTTCAGCTAGAAACTCATTAACCACTGCATCACGATGGAGAATTGAACAATGAAGTCACCTAAATTCATCTTTGAGTGCCATCAAGAATTGTACCAACCTCTGTTCCTCTCTAAAAGTGTTGTGTGCCTAATTGGTACTCAGTTTAGCGGGTTCAACAAGTGTTAATTGATCCCAATAACAACTTATAACTGAGTAAAATTCCTATATGGGTCAATCACCTTGATGTCCAACACTAATTTCAAGCTCAAGCTGACATCTTTTTGCAATATTTGACTGTACGAATAGTGTGGCTAAATAATCACAAATTTCCTTGTAAGTAGTAAACTAAGTCAAATGAACACCAATAGTCTAATCTATAGAGTTATTAATCCAAGTAATAATCTTGGCATTATTGGCATCCCATTGGTTCTTCAAATCAACTTACTTTTCTGCATAGTATCTGTTGGAGTTATAGACTATATAGACTAGTTATTAGCCTTTTACTTT